AGGGGGGGGGGGGAGGGGGGGGGGGGGGGGGGGAGCTCCCACTCCATTAGCTGATTGAATTGGATCCCAGTCCTTTTGGCTGGGAAGTGTTTGCACCATATTAAACACGGCTGAGATTAAAACACATTTTTAGCCAGAAAAAAAAATGCTATTGTCACACCAACATTTTTCACGATTTCACCAGCAAGAGACAGGTAGTCTGTTAACAGAGGCGGTCGCCCCGCTACATTCCTCTGTACTTGTGTCATTTTGTATCATCTACCCAATGTTTTCAGTAAGGCAGAGTGAAGGCCTAATGGACCATGGTGTGTCAGAGAAGCTGGCTGGCTCTAGTAAACAACACGTCTCACATCAGGATTTCACATTTACTCAAGAGCAATGTCAGATTTAATAAATGATGTACTTGTTCTGGCCGTATTTCGCAGGGTGGTGCGAGAGGAGGCAGGAAGATGAGAGGCTTCTCGAACCTTTAAGTGTTTCCTTTCTTTGTAACCAGGTCAACGGACAGGATGTTTCACTGCAGGGAGTGGGGGAGGTAAGGGGGGCGTAAGTGTGTCAGGAGTCTGCCGTGCAAAGTACCGGACGCGGTCTAGTGCACCTTGGAACAAGCTGCTGTTTTTTAAATTTCTATTCGAATGAAAGTGTCTGTCTTGGATGGAGTCAGGGATTCAGATGTGCATTTGTAAAGAACAGGACAATGTTTTTTGGTTTCTTTCTATGATTTTAAAGGGACAGTAAAAAATGTGTTAAAATGGAGGACGAAAAATATAATTGATGAACAAGAGCAAAAAGTACAAGGGTAGAAAATTGCTAACAATTTACAATCTGATTCTGCAATAATTTTCCAGGGTTTAGTTATTACAGTAACCTCGGTCATTTTTGGAAAGCCCATCTCTTCCATGAGGATGTTCTTAGGTGATGTGTCATGGTTGAAAAAACAAACAACAAAAACAAAAAACAAAATGTTGAGTTGTGAGTTATGTATATACTGCACTTTATCTATTTGTTTTCAATTTGTGATTTTGAGTTTTTAAGGCGGACCTTTCAAATCTCCCAAACCCATTTACCTGTTGTAATAATGTCACTGTTTGGCGTATGACTCTGCATTTAGCCGGTCCCTGACATTTTCTCAAATATAGCCTGCAGTCAGGATAAAGGCAGTAGGGCAAATACTCAGGATTGATTTTTGTTGGATGTAACCTTTCCTGATGGGTTAAAAATGCAGCATATGTGAGGGAAACTAATTACCTTCAGTTTGGAGGTGAGTCATCCTGGAGGATGACAGGTTTTTAAGCTCCGACAAATGGCAGTTTTTAATCATTACTCAGATCAAGGCCAGGGACGCACGGTTATATATATATATCACCCAGACGGGTCATAAGGTGTTACTTGATAAGATGACTATGATCTCTCAGGAACCACTAATGAAGTGAAGGTCTTTAGGGTCCCACTCTGTCTTCTGTGAAAACAAAAGTGAGGCTGATCTGCACAGACTTTCACATGCAATATATGCTGCTGATGAGTCAGACTCTCAATTTTTCACTGCACAATAGAATACAAATTGCTTTCTCCACATTGTGCTGCAGTAAAAAAAAAAAAAAGTGACTCAGGTTTAGATCAAACCGTGGGTGTAGAGCTAATCCAGTGAGCATATTTTGGTGAAACCAAATCAGGGCTTTAACCGCGGCTCCTCTTGCACTTATTACCTTCTCTTTACGCGCTTAGGTTTCTAGTAGCATTATCAGCCTCAGCAGCAGCAGCAGCTTGGGTTAAGGATCTGAGCTTTATGTCGTCCGTGACTGACAAGGGGAGGAGTAGCAGTGTGGAGGAAAAGGAGGAGGAGGAGAAGGGGGGATGGAGGAGGGGGGGGGCGCTCCCTCTCTCCCTCTATCCCCACCTCTCTCTCTCTCTCGCTCACCCTCTCGCTCCCTCTCTCTCCTGTCCTCAGTGCAGGACGCAGGACACAGTCGCTCTCCAAGGTGCTGAAACCCTCAGCGCTCCTTCTTCAGTCTCTACGATAAATGTGACTGAAACCCAACCTAATTCCTGACTTCAGTGCCTCCTAGACTTAATATTTTACACTGCGCAACTTCGACCCACAGGGATTCTTTTTTTTTTTTTTCATGCATCCGTTGGACCTATTAGCTACACACAGTGACTGTCTACTGTGCTCTCACATTCACCTGCAGTGTTGGGAAATACTGAATTGAGTCCAGATTCTCAGGGACAGCTGAGGAGGATTTGTCTTTCCCCCCCACGCTGTTTTCCTCTCTCTCTGCTTCTCTGTCCCTTCCTGTTCCTTCTGGACGTAAACTGTGATATTGTTTTTACACGGTCAACCCAATCAGGATAATCATGAAGCAGCACTTTCACACGGATACTGTTGTCTTTGCATTGGAGAGCAGGGACCGCGTCTTCAAACGCTGGTGTTTTAATTGCATTCAAACACGTCTCCACGACTAGAGGCGCAGCGTTTAAAGGAGTCTTTCTTCTAGATCCCGGCGATTTTATTTTTATTTTATTTTTTTACCCTGTGGATAAAGTGAAGTTTTGGAGGGAAAGGGCGAACATCCATCTTCACCCTGACTGGACAGCAGTTTGTGCACGGTGAGTTTTGCGCTGTCGCTTTTTTTTTTTGCATCATTTCTATCACATGTAGTCTGTTTATCACGTCCAGACACGCATCACTATAACATCAGAATGTATTTACGCACTTTTACATGTAATGTGATTGGATATTTCTCTGTGCTTCTTGGTTTATATTTGCGCATTCGACACCGATTAGGGCATTTGTATGTAATGGCTGAATGCAAGGTGCATGAAAAAAATGAAATTTTAAAGCAGGGATTCAGGGAAGTCTGGTGAATAATAACTACCTGTTGTCTCTCTCTCTCTCTCTCTCTCTCTCTCTCTCCTGTAGAGTTGGGGTGATGGGGGAGACACAGGCTTTTTGTTAATTGTGGAGAATACTGTGAGAAATAGCCAACACTCCTCCCACTACAGATAATTAATGATTCCACATTTCCCGCTGTCGCTAAACGGTCATTAAGGTAACAGCATTACCACAACCACTCCTCTCTCACACAGGCTGAGTTTTTCTGCCTTTAACAGCACCGGTCATAGCCTGTTGAGTAAACCGCATCTGTATTTATCTGAGGAGCTCAAACTAACCCGAATGACCACTGACCGGTGCAGACAGACAGTAACATATCTGCTGCACTGACCCGAACGGAGGGGGGAAATACAGCACAGGTGAAGCTTAATCACATGTGAGGACGTGTGGGAGAGGAAAAAGCAGCGGCAGTAGAAGCTCATCACATCCATCACCTCTTCTCATTTCCCACTGCAGTCTATTCCCCCCAAGTGACGACGATGACGATAACAAGTGGCGGTACGGACGCGGTGTGGATACCGGCAGCCTAGGGATGACATCCACACAATCTGGTTAAATGTGGACATCGACGCCGGGGCGAAGGATGGGGCCTCTCCTAACGCCTGCCTTCGTCCTCCTGTTGGCCCTGAGCACCGTGTCTCCGGCCTCGGTGGGTAACCCTGAGGATTACATCGCGGACGAGGCAGAGCGGACCGCCGGCGAAAACATCGTCTTCGATGATTACCGGGGCAAAGGATGCGTGGATGACAGTGGCTTTGTCTACAAACTCGGGGAGCGCTTCTACCCGGGACACTCAAACTGTCCGTGCGTGTGCACGGAGGACGGGCCAGTGTGCGACCAGCCCGAGTGCCCCAAACTGCATCCTAAGTGCACCAAAGTGGAACATAATGGATGCTGCCCCGAGTGCAAGGAGGTTAAAAACTTTTGCGAGTATCGAGGGAAAACGTACAAAATCCTGGAAGAGTTCAAGGTAAGAGCCAACCTGTTGCATGTACAAGTCTGTGAATGTGTGGTGCACAAAAAAGGAAATGTACGGATTGAGCAAATTGTCATATGTTTCGGGATTTGTTTCAAGATTTTCTTTATTTACATGTTCAAATAGTAAATAGTTGGGAAGTTATGCAGGTGCACAACACGTTATTCTGGACCTGGGTAACTCCCCTCCACCAAGCCTGACATCCATGACCCAAAAAATGTCTGTAATGCACTTTCATCACATAACGGGCTCAAAATCTCTATCTACAGTCACAAAACAACATCAATTCAATTACATTTTTATCAACTGGTTGGCACTGGCTTACATGTGTGGGGAAATATTCAGTGATTTGTGTGTTGTTTAAAAGCAGTTCATGTTGCATTGGATTTGTTAGCAGATTTTGAGCATGTTTTGTTGGTAAAATGGT